AGATAGATAGATAGATAGATAGATAGATAGATAGATAGATAGATAGATGGATGGCTAGATGGATGGCTAGATGGATGGATGGATGGATAGATAGATGGATACACACATACATACATACATACATACATACATACATACATACATACATACATATACATAGATGCTTTACCTTACCAAAGAGAAACTGTTTAGCAAGGCTTGATAACACACTGTTGAGGCTGTGTGCTGAACAAACCTGTTTTATTACTGATAGAACTATAAAGTGATGAAACTTTGATATGGGCAATTTAGAAATATCCATTAAAATCTCAAAGCTATTACCCTTTGACCTAGTCATTGTACTTCTCGGCTTCACTGTGCAGGCTTATCTACCCCCCCCCAGGGGAAACCACATTGATAATCTTGGCACTACCACAGGGGATGACTAAAACATTGGCAAAGCTGGAAATCAATGAGAGGGGACTGGTTAAATGAAGTTAGGTATTTTCTGATGACACTAGAATGGAAACCAAGGGAAACTAAGAAAGCTCTACATGATTTGTTGTGAAGACAAAGAACTGGGTCAGGCATAGAACTGTGTCTGATGGCTCCCTTTCATGTGAGAGGGCAGGCAGGGTGGTGCACAAAAGGAATGTAATCTCAACCAAAACCCCATAGATTTTCTACAAGTTTCAAGCTAATTTTTTTTTATCTTTTTTCTTTCTTCTTTTTTTTTTTTTTTCAAGCTAATTCTAGATCTCATGTGGGAAGACAAAGACTTAGAAGAATTTATAAAACAACTGTGTGTGTAGCTTTGCTGGATTAGATTGAAGTCTGACATCTTCAGGTAGCCATTTGCGCTCGGTCTGTGAGGACAGACTCCCTTTTCTCCCTTTTAAAAGTCTTTTCTGACCTGGGTTACTCCAGATTTTGTAAGAAGTGTCACATAACCCTTAGAGCAGATTACAGGCCAGACCCTTTCCTGATAAAAATTGGTCCAGCAAGCAGCTGAGAATTCCTAGAAATACCCCACCTTGCAAAGGATCATAGTCTTCAGCAGTGATCTTCAATTGTACTTGGAGATTCTCCCACCCATAGGATAATTAAGTACTGTGTTCTCCTTCTTGTGATAGGACCGTGTTACTGCATGTAAATGAGGCACAGTATCACTACATGTAAATAAAGTATCCCTGACCCCATTGAATCAAACACATTCACCTCCCGCTGCCCCAGGTTTATAAATCCATGATTTCAAATAAACATTCTAGCTGGTTGTACGCTGCATGATACTGTCAGCCTTCTACCATGGCCAACCGGAGATTCATCATTTATCCCCCTCCAGGCCTTATCTCACAGTTTGCCCATCAAGCTCTTTTGTTCTTTTACCTACTGGTCTGTCACTGGTTACTGTTACTGTGGCTTTTGTTTGTTGAGACAAAGTCTTGATACATAGCTCCAGATGGCCTTGAATGTATGATGCTCCCACCTCAACCTACCCTACACTGGAATTAAAGGTTTATGCCACCATACCTGGCTGTGATTGGATCAGGAGAGAAGTTGAAACTTGGTACCATGTGGCAGGGTTGCAGTCCCTGAAGGGAGCCCAGGAGAGGCTACTGGTGATGGTACAGCCAAGTTGCAGCAGGAGACCCTCAGAGTTTTGAAGATGCTAGTATGGTGGGAGGATCAGCATCAACAGCTCCTAGGCTTAAGCCTAGGAGACAAGTGCTCAGTGATTCAGAA